GGTTTGCCAAGGGATGACGGGAAAGGCATTCTCAGGAAGGCACTGGCCTGTGCAAAGACACAGATGTGTGACATTGCCCGTCTCATTTAGCAACCTGCCGGTGGTTCAGTGTGGGCCCAGGTCAAGCAGTTTCAGTGTGAGTGAAGGCCAGGAGGCCTGCAGAGCTCAGACCACAGAGTGCCTTCCACAGCAAGGAGTATGACTCCACCCCAGGCACAACAGAAGGGCAATTAAACTAGGCAGTGGCATGACTGAATTTGTGTCTAAAAAAGATCCATCTAAATGTATGATTAAAAAAAAAAAAGCCACACTCATTGCTGTTGAGTAGATTCCAACTCATAGCAACCCTACAGGACAGAGTAGAACTGCCTCATAGGGTTTCCAAGCAGCGGCTGGTGGATTCGAACTGCCAACCTTTGGTTAGCAGATAAGGGCCATCCAACTCATCCTGTTCTTTTACCGGGAAAGTCCATTGAGGAATACAGGCAACGGAAATAACTCGAAAAGAAAACAAAGGCTATTTGTCTAAAGATGTTCCCAGCAGTGTTGTTTATAATCATGACAAAATGGTAAAAGCCCAAGTGGCCTGCTCTGGATAATTGTCCTGGGGGAGATGGAGACAAATGAGGCATGACTCATATCCTCCTCAAGGTGCTCCCATGGGAAACAGAGCCACATGAACAGATAGTGACAGAACAGGGGGGACAGTGGCTGGTGCCTGGAGAGACAGACGAAGAGCTGTGGAAGTTTAGTAGCAAGAGAGCTCAGCTGGACAGATCCAGGAAAGGCAATCTGGGAGAGATGGCATTTAAACTGAGAGGTAGGATTAAGCCTTAAAGAGAAGGTGAAAGGATGAGAAAGGCTACTCTACACAGGGGAACTAGCACACACCTTATGCAAAGGCAAAACCCACTGCTGTCAAGCTGATGCCGACTCATGGGAACCCCATGTGTTACAGGGTAGAACTGCTCCATAGGGTTTTCTTGGCTGTGATCTTTATGGAAGCATGTTGCCAGGCCTTTTTTCCGGTATGCCTCTCTGTGGATTCAAACCATCAACCTTTAGGTGAATAGATAAGTGCAAACCATTTTACCACCCAGGACCTATACGCAAGGCAAGGCAATCTATGCAGGGAGCTGTGAGTGGTTCAGCGTGGCAGAAGGTTTCAGCCTTCACTCTGCTGTGGAACACACCTGTGTGACATGATGCTACCCAAAAGCATTCTCAACTATAGATAAAACCAAAACGTTAGCAAGAAATTCAAACGCTCCAATCATTTATATTCATCACAACTTTTAATGGTATGTGAGCAAAAGTAGCTCATTACAGGCCGGGGCATAGATAAGGCGGGATGCTGGCGATGCAAAATCTCAGGCATGGCTCTACCCACTTTTCCCTCGCTCAGGACAGCACATCAGACTGCCAGTGAGCAAGAGTGACATTATCAGAGGGAAATTCTGAACCTGATCCATATTTTTAAAAAGTAAATCAGGATATCCAAATGGCCAATAAACATGTGAAAAGGTGATCAACTTAATTAACAATCATGAAAACGCAAATGAAGACAACAGTAAGGTTCTGAACAGGCACCCATTAGAAAGGCTGAAATTAAGCTCAGTGACAAAACCAAGTGCTTTCAAGCATGTGAAGGAATGGGGACTCTCCTACCAGGCTGGTGGCCAGGTACATTGGTACAACCAGATTGGAAGACATGCTGGCGTTGTCTACTCACGTGGAAGATCTGCATACCCTATGGCCCAGCTCTCTACTCCTAGAACCGACAGAAATGCGTGCACGTGTGCGTGCAGAGACATGGACAACACTGTTCAGAGCTACTCTGTTACGTTAGCCAAAAATGGAAGCAACTCTAATGCTGCTGGGGAAGAATGGAAAAATAACGTATGGTATATTCCTCCAGTGGAATATTATACAGCAACCAAAGTGAACTAATGACAGCCATATGCAACAGCATGGATGAATCTCAAAAACTTAACATTCAGAGAAAGAAGTCATACAAAAGAATACATCCTACACATATGAAGTTCAAAATAAGCAAAACTAAACTTTAGTACAGGTAGTGCCCGACTTATGACAGAGTTCCGTTCCAACGACTCATGTCCTAAGTCAGTTCTGACGTAAGTAGAATACTTTTTTTTTAGTTTTCATTATTATTGCCTTTTATTATCAGTATCTTTATAAATTCAATCTTTGAACATCTTCGAGTGAACATCTGAGAATGGTAACATCAGCAAATTACATGCTGCAACATTGTATGCAGTACATATTACTAATGATACGAGGTTAAAAAAAAAAACGACAGTGGTGAGTGCGTTCGCTGTAACTCAAATACATTGTTCAGTCGGGACTACCTGTATTTGAGAATACATGCTTAGGAAGTAAAGTTTTTTTAAAAACCAAGAATGTGATTACTAAAAGTCAAGGTGGTGGTTATCTTTGGGGAGAAGAGAGGGAAAAATCACTGCAAAGGGGCTTCTGAGGGAGTTATTTCTTGACCTGGAATACACAGATGTTTGCTTTATGATAAATCATTGGCTATACTTTCTGTGTGCACATTTATGAATGTATGCTATATCTCCCCATAAAAAGTTTTAAAGAAAAGTAAATAATTTGCACATATCAACACTTTATTATCAGGAACAAATTACTTGTGACACCACCATTCCCCACCCCACAACAGCCCCCTTATCTTCTAAAATAGCAGGTATTCCAGTGAGACTGAAACTTTACCAGGGAAAAGAAGGGGCGATGCTGTCATCCAGCTCAGTCCCGACCCATCTGGGGCACGAAGGGCCTTGTGGGGGACACCCCAGTGTCAAGGGTCTCTTCAAGCAGAGTGGTGTGGGAACATGGGGTTGGCTGAACCCAGGACATGCTGGATATTAGATCAGAAGAGTTCCAGAAAATCTGCATTATGATTGTGACTGTCTTTCTGCCCCTGAACTATGAGCCCCACAGGGCAGAGATATGCTCCAATCCTCTCTGTACCCCCAGGAGCCAGCACAAGGGCTGGCTTGGAGTCAGCACCCAGTATGAATTTGTTGAAATATATAGAATAATCAAACCTCAAACTAGATAAATGTTGCTTTGTTTTGTTTCCCAGTGTTTTAAACTAGAAGGACTATTGAGATTAGTGAATCCTGCCTCCCCATTTAATGGATGGAAAAACCGAAGCTCAGAATGGGAAAAGTGACTCATCTAAACTCACAAAGGAAGTCGGTGATGGAACCCAGCTCTCAATGCCTGTGGTTTTGCTATTTTTTGGATATCATGTAGCTGACTACAGAATCTGTGCTCTCTTCTGGGAAGCTCCTCTAATTGTGTAATAGAATGGTTAACAGCAAGGACTCCTGAGGGTTTCCTGGCCCTCCCATTTTACTTTATGGATGGGAACAGGACGGCCTCTGCATTAGGAATAACAGTGCTGACCTGACATCGAGGTGTCCAGCCTACAAAGGCAGGGGATAGGGAAGAAACACCAAAGGTTCTTTCCCCAGAACCCTGGTCCCCTTCAGAGAGAGGAAACCCAAAGCTGCCCTCTGCTGCTGAGTTGGCGGTGCCTGGTATCACATGCAAAATTCTAACGTTCAATATGGGCCATGGTGCTGAGAAGCCAAAACTATATTCCAGCTGTCCTCTGATCTGCAAGAAATGCCAGGCTGGACGCTCTGGCAGGAAAAGCTGTCATCGCTTTTGGGTCTTGCTCCTGAGAAGACAATGGTCTGGGCATTCGGGTTTCCTCAGGCACACAAAGAGTTAACTGAGGCTGCCCACTCAATCCTCAGTTTCCTTCAGGGGACCAGAGGTTGTGGTCTCGGTCTCCCCACACCTTTATTCTATTGAATCTGTGTACTAATCTCCTAAATCCAAAAGGGGGTCAGAGGTTACTGTGTGGAGAGCAGCAGAGCTTCTGCAAACTGCACAGGGGAGAGGGCTGAGCAGGGACTGGAGCCTAGAGACCTGGGTTCTGCTCTGGCTCCCGGAGGGGCCATTTCCTAAGCCTGTCTCAACTCAGTGCCCTCTTCTGTAAAAATACCTGTACTGCTTTCTAACCAACAGGTACTGCAAGGATCAAGCCATAATTTCTATCACTTATTTTGTGCCATGTGCCAAGAGAGTGGAAGGCACGTTATTTCTAACCTCTCCTTTAATCTTCACAGCACCCCTAGGAGGTAGTGTTATCCGATTCTTCCCCCTTTTCAGATGAGGAAACTGAGGCACAGAGAGGTGGAATCCCTTGCCAAGGTCACCGAACTTAGCCACAATTCAAACCCAGGCAGCCCGACATCTTAACCCAGACCGATTTTAACTCAGACCCCACTATTCATCCAGCCACCTCTGGGACCCAGTTGGGAAATTGAGGCCTACAGAGCAGAAGGGACCCGGATGCCCAGCCTCCCAGCCCACACCTCTTCCTATCACCCATCGTGCCACTGCTCACGACGGATGTCATCTCCTAGATAACTCGGCGCTAAGTAAGACATCTTAGTAATTTGGTCCCGTTATATTTTGCGCGGCAAAGGCGCCAGGTGTCCCAACTGGCGGTCATGCTTCCGCACCTGTGTATCGGTTATGCAGCAGACCCGCCGTCACCCCAAACCTGCCAGCCAGCGCATACGACCTGAATACAGACTCTGAGTGCGCTAGAGCTAACTGTCCCCGTGGAGCCGCTGGCGCTATCACTGCATTTCTTAACTCCATTCCTGCCCAAGATTGGCAGGGCTGCACCCAATTCAGACACCCCGACCCCGGGTGCCCAGACAGCATTCTACCGCTCCGGTTGTCCTGGGACCCCCATTCGCGGCTCAAACCCCGGCAGCGCCCCGGGGAGGCCGCCAGCAGAACCGCTAGTGCGCACGGAGTGGCGAGGACTCCCTTTTATGTTCAGGAACGAGGCGCGCACCGCAGCCGCGCCCGCCGCTAAGACCAACTTCTCCAGGAGCGCAGACAGCCGGTGCCATCCCCCAGGTCGGGTCGCTTACCTGTCAAGGCGCGGGTCCGAGTGACAGCGGAGAGAAGCGCGGAGACGGAGAGCAGCAAGAGCAAGCGCCAGCACTGCCGGTTCCTCCTACAAGAAGTAGCCCAGGAAGAGAAGTTGAGGCGGGCGGGAAGGCTGAGGGGCCCGGGACGCGGGGAAGCGATTCCTACCTTGGCGCCATCTCGCGGGTCTGCGGAGCTCCCGAAGGCGCACAGCGAGCCGAGCTGGGCCGGGGCTGAGGCGCCGAGCTCCGCGGAAGATGAGCGGTGCTGAGCCTGGCCGCCGCGCTCGCCCTTCCTGCAGGGAACAAAGGCGGCGGTCCGCAGCGGCGGCGAGCAGGGTCCCGGCTCGCAGCCCACGCCCTGAGCCACCCGCGCTCTGAAACCCGACTCCGCCGCGCCCTGCGCTCCGCGCGCGCTGCGCCCCACCTCGAGCAGCGACGGTGCATTCACGCCCCGGGTATCCCGGCCGCGCCGGGCGCCTCCCCACGCCCCTTTTCTCCTCGACGGGCGCGCGCTCCCCCTCCGCTGCCCCCACCCCAAGCGATCTTACGTAACCTTCGAGGAAAGCCCGCGTCCGCGCTCATTTGGGCTAACGGCACCGGGCTCCGTCCGCCATCACGTCTGTCTCTGCTGGGGCTGCCCCGCGGACATAGCGCTCTCTCTCCCACCGTCCCACGGAACCTTCTCAGCCCTGGGAGGCTGGAATCACTGTGATTCCGCTATTTGATGGATAAGGAAACTGAGGTTCAGAGAGGTGCAGTGAATGTCCCAAGGTCACACAGCTGGACTGATCTCTTGGCTGCAGTGTCCCACCCGGCACGACTGACCCATGAACCCACTTGAATGCCCAGGAGTGGCCCCATTTGGAGGGCATAAGGGATACATGTAACTAAATGCAGCAAAAAAAAACAACAAAAAAAAACTTTTTTTTCTTTTACAAATCTAATTCCAGGGCTTTCCTCTCTATACCTGCCCACTTCACTAAAATGTAAGCTCCGCTAGGGCAAGAGTTTTGTCCTCTGCCTAAAATAGTACTTGGTAGCAGGAGATGAAGAGTCCTGGTGGCGCAGTGATTAAAGCGTTGGGCTGCTAGCCGAAACGTCGGTAGAATGGAACCCTCCAGCTGCTCCTCGGGAGAAAGATGTGGTAGTCTGCTTTCCTAAAGATTACAGCCTTGGAAACCCTATGGGTCAGTTCTAGTCTGTTCTATAAGGTCATGGCAACGGGTTTGTTTTTTTAATAGAAGATGCCGAATAAATATTTGATGAATGAAAGAACAGTCTTTCTTGGGTAAGACACATGGCCAGGCACTGCGAGGGGTGGAGGGAGATGAACCAGTCTCAGCTCCCAAAACCCTCCCTACAGTGTGTGGTGGGGAGGTGTGGGCAGATTATCCCACCTGGATAGAGCCTGGCTCAGGGCCTCGCACTTAGGGAGCCTTCAAATGGTGGCTTTTTATCATTGTCATTTGTACCAGGCATAAGAGCGTAAGATGTTTGAGCAAGAAAAGACACTGCCAAAGTCCACTAAGACTTGGACAGTTCTGAAGCCAGGCCCATCCCAGGGGTCTCTTTTCCTGAGGCACTAAGTCAATATAGAGGCCTGTTGCTCCATGGTCAGTTCTGGTTTTCATTAAGTATCTCTAGATGTCAAGTAACCACAAGTTAAGTGAAAAGGTAATTTGAGTTAGCCCTGCAGGGGAGAATGGGATTGGATGGGTATGGTAGCCATAGCAGACTGAATAATAACCCCTCAAAAGATATCCATGTCTCAATCTCTAGAACCTGTGAATGTTACTTTATATGGCAAAAAAAAAAAAAAAAAAAAGACTTTGCAGATGTGATTAAATTAAAGATCTTAAAATGAGGAGATTATCCTAGATTATCAGGGTGGTTGGGCCCTTATAAGAGGGAGGCCGATGGAGATTTGACATACACAGGAGGAGAAGGCAGCGTGATGGAGGTAGAGACTGGAGTGCTGCAGCCATAAGCCAAGGACTGCTGGCAGCTACCAGAAGCTGGAAGAGGCAAGGAATGGATTCTCCCCTAGAGCCTCTGGAGGGAGTGTAGCCTTGCTGCTATCTTGATTTCAGCCCAGTGAAACAGATTTTGGACTTCTGGCCTTCCGGACTATAAGAGAATAAATGTGTGTTGTTTTAAGCCACCAAGTTGTGATAATTTGTTACAGCACCCGTGGGAAACTAATACAGCAGCTAACATTTGTTGAGTGCTGATTAGGTGCCAGGCCCTGTGCCAAATGCATCATCTCATTTATTCTCACAACAGCCCTGTAAGGGTGGTACACTAATGACCCCTATTTTACTGGTGAAGAACCTGAGATTAACAATGTGCCCAGGCTAGTGCATGACAGGTGAGACCACCCATGCTCTTCACCACTGAGCCATACTGCCTGTCCGTGAACGAAAGGATTAGACTTGCTCCCTACTCCCCAGAGCAAAATTGCACTGGAGACATGGACCCCTCGACCATGAAAGAAAGGGTTTGTGGAGTTCAGGCAGTGGGAGCTCTGAGCATCAGGAGCCTGGGTTCCAGTCCCAGTTCTGGCCCTGACTGTGAAGTGATTTGCAAAGGCAAATCATGCCTTTGTCTCATTTTTTTTTTTAATTCTCCATCTATGTAATGAGAGTAATGATCCTGACCTGGGTAACAGGTAGCAGAGAAGGTAGGAATTACAAGTATGGGCTCTCAGGTCACAACGCCTGGGTTAAATCCTGGCTCTGTTATTTATAAGCCATGTGAAACTTAGGCAATTTACTCAACCTCAGCTGTAAAGTGGGGATGACAAAGGTTCTTTCCTCCTGGGTTGTTGGGAGGATTCAAGGTACTACTGAAATATAAAGCATTTATCAGAGTGTTTAGTACAGGACAAAGGAGCCCTGATGGTGCAATGGTTAAGCGCTCGGCTGCGAACAGAAAGGTTGGCGATTTGAACCCACCGCCTCTCCACGGGAGAAAGACCTGGTGATCTGCTCCTGTAAAGATTACAGCCTAGAAAACCCGATGGGGGCAGTTCTACTCTATCATATGCGGTCACTATGAGTCAAAAATCAACTCAACGGCACCCAACAACAGTAAGAGTGGAGGACAAACGCTCATTGAATGTTAGCTTCTATTATCGGTGGTGGTGATGTTCTTATTTTATTGGTTCTGTATAAGTATCTGATGATTCACTGGAATCTGAAGATGCAATTCCCCAAAGCACATTTCTCCCCTAAAATGATTGGAAATAGGTGCACATTAATGTTGTTAAATTTGTGCCTTTTCCACCTGGGAAGCCAGGTGAAATAAGGGCTTTCGTTTTGGAGTTTGGCCTCGAGGTGGGAATTGTGAACTCAGACTGACGGAGGATAGGGAGGGTCTCAGGACCAAATGGTCCCAGCTGTGAGTGTGGGAGGATGAGGGCAGGAAGCCAAGCAAGGCATTTCACCTCCTGCCAGACTGTGTTTTGAGGGCTTAAGCGATTTCCTTCCATTCAATGTGAAGTTGGAGAAAAAGCCAAGAGGAAGCTTCATGTCTTACCCAAGCTGATCTAAATTGTTTACCACAGCTTCAGTACAATCTACAAGATTGGGACGTGTGGAGACTTAGGGATCTCATGTCCCTGCTCTTCCAGAACTCGACTAAATTCATAGGCTGTTCCATTTTCTTATAATCCATCCAAGTGTTCCAGAAACTCAGTATCCAAAAGCACTTTCCAGACTGTCTCAAGCAGCTGGAAGGGGCACAAAAATCAGTCAGAAGCATCCTAAACTTGGATTTGGGAAGAAGTTACCAGTGTATAGGACACATCATTCTGGACCTCAGTTTCTTCAGTTGTTGGTGTTAGTCTCCACTAAGTTAGCTCTGACTCATGGAGACTTTATTTATAACAGAATGAAACCTTGCCTGGTTCTGTGCCATCTTCATGATCATTGGTATGTTTGAGTCCATCACTGTGGCCATGGTATCAATCCTTCTCATCAAGAGATTCCCTCACCTTTAGTGGCCCTCCACTTCACCAAACATGCCGTCTTTCCCCAGCGATCCGTCCCTCCTGATGACACATCCAAAGTAAGCAAGTCAAAGTCTTGGACAATATTCTGTGTTCCATAGGGTTCTCATTGGCTAATTTTCAGAAGTAGATCGTCAGATGTTTCTTCCTAGTGTCTTAGTCTGGAAGCTCTGCTGAAACCTGTCCACCATAGGTGACCCTGCTGGTATTTGAAATACCAGTGGCATAGCTTCCAGCATCACAGCAACATGCAAGCTGCCACAGTATGACAAACTGACAGGCGGGTGGTAGAATTTCTTTTTGGAGTTGTGAGGAGAATATTCACAAGAGGTACCCAAAGTTTGCATCTTCATTTGATTTAACGAGCAGAAAAAGCGAAGTAGACTTAACCAGCTGATTGGAAAAGATTTTACCAGAATAACCAAAGAAGATAATTGCCTTTTGGGTAATCAAGAGAAAATAATGCCGGTTTAAAACTGCATTCCAAGGAAGACCTTTTTGTTCTGATGGGCACCTCATTGTGGTTGGGGAGGCCAAGAGCTGAGAAAAGCTGATTTATTTAGTATAATAGAGAAAGCCGAGTTTGAGAATCTGACAATCCAAGAGGGAGAAAGACAAGAAAAAAAGGAGGGAGGGTGTATCTGATGTCCTTATGTGCCACTGTCAGTATCCCATTCATGTCCTCTCTGCCTGTATAATTTATCTACGTGGTGGCTGTCTTCCAGTTGCCAGCACCTGTATCCCCTTACCTGAGGGCTTTCTCTGGCTGCTGGAGCCTGCCGGCTGGAAGTGCTGAGGAATTAATGCTGTCACTGCCTCCCCACAACCCCGAGGAGCTGTCAACAATTGACTGACAGGAGCTGGTGGATAAGAACCTCAGCACCCTTACCCATGTGGTGGGAACTCTCAGGATCGTGTTCTACACTTGCACCCAGAGCTCCCCAGCAGGATTAAGCTCCAGTTGCCCACAGCGTGCTGTGCATTCGCCCTTTATTAGCTGCCTTCCCTTTCCTGTTTCACTTCCAGCATTTCTGCTCTGGCTAGAATCCTTGCCTCAGGGTCTACTTCTGGAGGAATCCAAATTAAGACAGCCACTTCAGGTTTGTTTGGCTTCACCTGTCCCCAGCGTCTTTGGCCACTTGTTCCAGCCCCAAGCCTCTTAGTGATG